TGGTCATTAGCCTTCTAATGGCAACATCTAACTGCATGACACGTACCATACATTTAGTTGTTAACTTGTAAAGGTTCGACATACAAGTTATTGGCTTAAAATCGCTGCCTTTACTTGGGACACCTTTTGGAATCGGTGGTAGTAATTTTATAGAACCACGGATCCTGTTCTCCATATCCAGACAAATCCTTTTTACTATTTTGTACAGAATTGGATGCAAGGAGGTGCACTTCTTAACAAAGAAGTTATAAACTCTATCAGGCCCTGCCGCTTTCCGATTGGGCAAATAGGAGACTATCTTCCCAAATTCGGCTTCAGAGGGAAAAGTATAATGCACTTCATCACGTGGAACGAATTTTTTCCACCCCGATGGCTTTTTCTCTCGCCTCGTCATGTCTTCATAACATTGTTCTGCTGCCTGGAGCTGCCCTTGCAATATTCGTCATTGATTTGGGAGTATTCTGTGTTGCATATTCATTTACCACTTGGTTCACTACTCCAAGTATGAGCGGGTCCACGTTCTCAGGTGTTATTTTCCGCGTCCACTTTGTCTGTCACGTCCTTGTGCTTCATGCATCAGCACTAGATATTTTTCTTTCACATCTAGACAAACCTTGGACTCGTGTAGCGTTTCCTCGAAGTGAGTATTTTGTGAATTGACACGTTTCGTAGATTCCTCCAAGAACTGTTTCTGTGAGCACAGACGACCTGCAATACTGGTGATCACAGAATCCGCTTGCTTGTTCAGTTCTTCGAGGATAATAGCACACAAAAACTTCTCGCTATACAGAGAACGACACAATGCCATCCCCTTCTCGGCATTCTTCCAAATCGGTCCAAGGACCGATTCTAGCACCTCTCCCAGCCACCTGCTCTGTAAAATCTCGATCCCACGGGAGTGCTACGAGCGTGATCATTCTGCTAACACCGGGTTCCGGTATACTGGCAGAATGTTCTCAACATCCTTCACATGGCTTTTTTCAACCGCATCTGTTTTTCCATTGTTTTCATTTGTGATTCCAGATGTGGACTTTTTCCTTTTACCTCCATTTTATATTCGTTGAACACAGCCGTTTAAAGCCAAACGCTCAGCACTCCGGCAAGGCCGAGAAGATATATATATATATATTTTTTCGGTTATATATATATATATATATAACCGAAAAAAAACCTGGAATCATAAATGAAGATTATATATAACATTATATAATCTTCATTTATGATTTCAGGCTCGGCTTTTTTTCCTATTATTTCCCATTTCCTGATTTGTAATCCGATAGCTGTTAGCTCAACCGCTCTGCAATTCGGCAGAGCGAAGCAATTCATATAAGATGTTATGGGTGCGGTATCTGCAAAAGCATATTGTAGTTAGAGAAGCATAAGCTCACTCCTGTATTTAATATTATGAAGTCTACATCCTAGACCGTCCCATAGCAGTCACAAAACGTACTTAGCAGTTATTATGCCTTACCTTCAGACTAGATAGAATCTCGTAGAAAATCCAAATTTCGAAAACATATTAGTAGCCCAGAAGGCGCCCTTTTATAGCAAAATATAGAAGAAAACTTATCATGCAAAGCTATACAAGATACAGACGAATAAAGTCCCATTTATAGCTAATTCATCAATGTAGTTACGATTCGGAAATATTACTCCCATGGATGAAGCGCGATACTGTCACCTCTAAGATAGAAATATGTCTGGATCTGAGAAAGCTATGTGCCTACATTGTGAAGACGGTGGACCATCTAGCAGCGCAGTGGGAGAAAGTGTTATATCATGATTCAACATTATACTATAAGACACACTGAGGTCTTGCGATGTACATTGAGGACTTTGCAAAAAGTATGGTCTGAAAGCATTGCCACTCATGCGGAGCTATTCTGTTCAGAAAATGATCGATAAAAAGATCGTGGAAATAGAAGTCAATACGCGAGAACTGCAATTAGATAAGAGCGGTCGACCGGATGTGCTAGTGTAGGATAAGACGCGACACGAAGTACTCCTTATAGGTGTTGGCATCAATGGTCAAGACAGGTTGATAACAGTCGAGACCGAGAAGAAAGCGAAAGTACATTAACAGGCTAATAAACATGGGGCAGAGATGAAATGCAGGACCAAAATAATTCCGTATGTGATGACTTGGGATAAGATAATGACGAACTTCCACAATCGTTATGCGAAGGAAATC